CTCACATACACATATACATACACACATACAAACACACAGCATACACACACTCACTCACACACATACAGAGACACACACATACACAGAGACACACACATACACACACATATCCTTCAAAAATGTTAATAAAAAAGCTACACAAGATGAATATGTAAAACTGGTGAACACACAAGACAGCACTCTACTGGTGACACCAATAACTACCGTGACACAGGACTACTGTGTCCGGATCCATTTCAGATGGGAAACAGTTTCCTGACAAAGAAGAAGCTCTGGAGCTACTCACAGGGTGCACTCTGGGGAGCTTCGGAAGACCTAACAACAGAAAACTTGAACCTACAACATTGTGCTCACAGACACAGGGCACCGAGTCCACCAAAGACTTAAGTAGGAGGTCCACGTTTTAACAAGGGTTCCAACACCACCATAGAGTGTACCTGTCCGGGGGGGGGGGGGGCAGGCTCACTGTTTTTAAAGCAGATATGACATCAGTTGCTACTGATGAACTACTCAGTTTTAACTGACAGTGGTGCTTTTCACTTACAGAGGAGCTGTCAGGCACGTGTGGGAAACTCTGTTTAAAATGTATAAACTAAAGCACAAACATGGTAATTTGCTCCTCGGAGGTGAACAAATGAGCCAGAGTTCTCAGTTCCCATAATGTGCATAAGATGTACTTCTCCACTTCACACAATCAATATTTCAACAAACTCAAATGATCTTAGAGAAAGGGGGCAAAGAAATTCTAGGTGATCTGTGTATGCGTAGTTTACCTGTGTGTCATTTTTTGTTACTGAACTAAAAATTCTACCATCTGTATCTAATATATCCACTATACTGCAAAAATACAGTGAGAATAGGTTGCTTTTGAAAATGAATTTGGAAGGCACTTACTCTATATAACCTTTTCTTCTAATCTTCCCACAAAAACTAATCTCAAATGAGTCTTTACTCTTTGTTATAGTCATGACCTCATATGCATATAAACTTTCCAGATGTTTACTATTGGTTTAAAAAAATACTAGACACCAGACACTGTGTCATGTCCCGGAGTCTCAAGCCTCTGATTCATAGAGTTCCATTCACACAGAGTAGAAATTTCAAGGCCCGTTTCCACAATGTATCTTTGGGAGTTCTAATGTGTTCATTAGAATGTTATGATACATCATCTTTATAAACAACCCGGTAGTCCTGTAGAGGTGTGTCAAACACTCCAAAAGGGAAGTAAAAGCCACAGCTGCATACTGTGTGCATGGTAGGTATTAAGGTTTGGCTATCACTATAACAAGGACCATCTAAACAAGCACCCCTGGCTGGCTAAAAACTACCATGATGTCTGCTCTACACTACCACACCACCTAACTTTTCTCTGGCACCGAAACTACGAGTCAAATTTGCTGCCTGATCTCTCCTGGGATAATCCTTTAGTCTTGATTTAGTGACCAGGAACTCTAACATTCAAGCACTACCCAACCGACTTTTTCTCTAAGTCTGGAAAGCTAATTAACTGTGAGCTTTAAGATTTAATTCACCTCAAGCCAAAAGTTAAAACTGCAGCTTAAGAAAGACAAACACAGAACAAGGCATCTAATGTCACCTCATCTTTTTAAAGGAGAAGAAAATGGAATCTGGAGAGGTTCACAGATGTGTCCAAGGTCACACAAGCAAAGGACAGAAGCTCGGTCAGGGTTTCTGCTTGACAATACTTACAGGGAACTGCTGTGGGAAATTACCACGGAATTCTGAGTGAGAAAAATTGCCTTTAATGACAAACATGAGTAACTCAGATGTGCTTAATCAAGCACTAAGTTAAAACTACCTTTTATTAAAAAGTAAGAAGAAAGGCAAGCCAGAGCTGAAAAATGATAAATCACTTCTGAGATTCAGCCTCCAAGGAGACCAACTCAGCCACAAGCAATTTTAGAAACCTGTTCCGATTATTTTTTTTAACTCTAGAATTATTTCACATTGAATTATTATTCAAAAATAAATTTATAATTTAATATTAAATTATTGTTCAAATTTAATATTCAATTAGTGGGGATAAGGCATCAAAATTTTTTTGATTTACAGAGATTTATGTTGTAACAGGTTTGGGTCAAAGAACAGTGATTTAAAGCAAGAAGTGCAATTTTCATTTTAATTTCCTGTGTCTCCCATTTTACCCTCTTTTCCTCTTTGTAACGAGTTATAAAGGTTAGGGTTCCCATCTCAGTTACACTTTCAGATTTGAAAGTCCAAACAGTTTGTATCATTGCTGTTAAATCGAACAACTTCTTTAGCATTTTTATATCTCTAAGTATAAAATCCCACTTAGAGAAATGGATGATAAATTCATTATACTTCAAACACTAGTGGCCCTTGAAAGTTAGGAAATTAGGGAATATTCTTACCAAGTCACTTTGCCAGGTAAAATGCATCTATGGGCCCCAGGGAAGAAAGACAGAGTTTCTCTGGGCTTTTGTCTATAGTGGGTGGTAAGGGTAAAAGACGTGTATTTACAGAACTTGAATAACATAAAATAAAGAGATCAGGTTTAAATATAATAAAGAGAGGCTGGCTAGATGGTCCAGTAGGTAAAGGTGTGTGCAGCCAAGCCTGACAACCCCAAGGGACCATATGGTAGGAGAGAACAACACCCACAAGTTTTTCTCCTGACCTCTACAAATGCACAGTGGCACACACATGCACACAGAAATAAATCAATGTTTAAAGAAATAATAGATTGAGATGGATATTCCTTAAACAGCATGCATTTGTGGTTCCTGTTAAAGCAGTTAAGTGGATATATATATATATATGTATATATATATATATATATATATGTTTTAAAGGTCTATTTTATGGAAAAATATTAAATCCAAATGTATATAAATATATGGATTTGCATAATAAACCTAGTGTCCTTAGCTTTTTTATATGCTGATCTATTTAATTCTCACAGCAACCATTTTGGGTGGAATCTATTATTATCTTTATTTTGGAAATAAGGGAGCTAAGACACCTAGATAGTTAAGGGCCAAAGCCAGACTCCAACCCCAATGAGGCTGAGTCTCGAATTGCTTGCTGGAAACTGTGCTGGCATGGCTTGGCCCTTCTCAGTTTTGTTGAATTTATCTCTGAATTGCTTTGTTATCAAAAGCTTCAATTAAACAATTTCATTATGAAACGCTTTACTAGCCCATTATGTTTTGAGGAATACACTGCTATTTATAAGTTATTTCTGCCAACACTTAGCCCCCTTTGTGGATAGCAGGCCCACCTTACAGCGCTTTTACGCACAGCGCTGTTCACAGTGAGAAAACAGTTATGCATAAACTTTAGCGCCACAACTGTGGTCTAATTGTTGTACACATTTACAGCAATGGGAAGCTCACACACGGCAGGAGGACTGTAGCGGATGGGGTTTTCCCTCGTGCCCAGGTATAAAGCGAAGGGTGAAGCCTGTCTCTTCTGCAGCCTGCGTCCATCGCCCTGTAGTCTGCCCCCCCCCCCCATCTCTTCACATTTACTCTGACTGCCCTTGTTGAGACGCTCAGCCTCGGTTTCGTCAGTGCAGGGAGGCAGGGAGAGCCATGTCAAGGGCGATGGTGGAGGGTGGGGCCCTGGGCGTTAAGCTGTATTCACTCATGAGTTGTCGTACACACATAGCATAGAGTCTAATTTTTACAGATGCCCTACCCAGCACTTGAAATCACGTTGCTGTCTCATAGTGGTGTGGGAAAACAAAAACAAGACCACGGCACTGGCCTTCCTCCATACTCCACCAACTCCTCCTATAAAATGCCAAGGCCAGCTTACGCACCCTGGGACACATTGCTCACGCTTCACCGGGTGCTATGGCTTGCCCCCTTGCCTTCCCTAGAGACCCACACAAACAGCTTGTATTTCCCGGCCACCCGTGACGGCTCTTTGCTGTCTCCGTGCTTTGCCCAAGCGACTTCATATGGTGGGAATAGTCCCACTGCTTGTCGTGGAGTTAACTGCAGTTCATGGTTTGAGATGCAGCTCCAGAAGCTCCTTTGTGTGGCCGTCTTAAACTCTCGAGACCTACCTCCCTTCCAAAAGGTATTTCCCTACAGAAAACAGGGATGCTCATTCTGCTCTGGGTTCCTATCCTACCCAAGGCACAGATGCACCCAGTCTAGACATGTCCTTATATGGGGAGGGGGTCTCTCGCCTTCACGCTGAAAACCAATCCCTTAGCCTTGTTTATGATCATATCCTTCCTGCTTAGTCAGTGCCTGGCATGCCTTTAACACACTTAGCCAATGTCTAATAGCATAGTTAAATCCTCCACTTAGTGTATATATTGGAATAAAACATTTGACCACTGTGGATTTCATGACAAAATTAAAATATCAACTTGAATGATACAGACACAGTAAAACTTTGAATGGCTATGCTTCATTTCCCAAAAGGACAGTGGTTCCAGCTTCTATACCAGTTTGAAGCATGCTGTAGTAGTCCTGTTTATCTGGTTCTTGTCAAGCAGGGGATCCTTCCCTCTTAACTACAATGTAAGTAACACAATTACCTTAAAGTTGCTCCTTTTAGCTCCTCTGCGCCCCCCCCCACCACCACCACCACTAAGGGAGCAGCCAGCCACATGCGGAGTGAAGAGCATGGTCCTCCCTTTAACAGGATGACAGTTCTGCTCAGTATGGCTGGGGCAGTTTCTTCTCCAGACTGCCAGGTTCTGGTGCACTACGATTTGCAGCTGCGTAGTGTGCACTAGGGAGCAAGAGAGCCCCATGAGACGCCAGTGTTGGGTGTATGCTGGGCAGGAAAGCTGGATGGTGCGTCTAATATTGAGAGAGCTGTGGACATGAGTGTTACTCAGAGCAGAGTGATGACTTATAGCCAATTTCTGCCTTCCAATTAGGCTCCAAATAAAAGAGATGGGATTTAGTAAAACAAGATGGTGTACCATTTTCCTACAGCAGAAATACCCACTCAGCCCAGTGCCCTACTATGGAGAAAGGACAACAAGCAGCAACCTGAGGGAAGCCCACAGGCTCGCAGGGCCACTGGCTGGCTCTTTGTCACCAAGTGCAGCAGGTTGAATGCAGACATCACTGGGATATCTTCAGCGACAAACCCAGAGGCAAAACCAGGCAGGGGCAAGAGCTGAGTGGGAGAAAAAAAAAAGAGAAGAAAACAAGAAAGAACGAATTAAAACATCACAAACATTAGGCACATTCATCAAACAACTAATGGCTTTGGTTTATAGGGCTAAGCACATGCACGGTGCTAATGAAATGCCAATGCCTCATTTTCGGATGGCAAGCTGACTTCCATTGTCATCGTTAATTCTCACAGTCCACTGAGGAGGCAGATTTTATCCACAGCACATCAGTGAGGGAAAAATGGAGGCTCAAAGATCCAAGGACACAAAAAGTACAGTTTGAAAAAGAGTGTGGAGACACCCATATGATGGCACAGTGACATTCTGTCCTTAATGCACACGGCCCTCACTAGATGTGGAAACTCATGCTTTAAGACAAAACAGAACAGAACCTAAGGACAACTAAGAGACGGCACTCCACAGACTGCTAAATTTGAATAGAGCATAAGGGAACACGTACTTCTGTTCGATTTTTATGATTTATGCTTTCTAAATATAATTCTGTGAATAGTACTCATGACCCAACATGGAAAAAAGGTAAAAAATATTTTACTAGTGTCTTTGGAAATGGATCAAGTAGAAGAATCTCAAAGCTATATGATATTAAGCTCCAGACAAACATTCAGCTCACAGGGTTTTCATAAGGGTCTCATGCACTGTTGCAATTGGTAAACATTAATTTCAAATCAAAGTGGAGGCTACTCAGTGATCAGCAAGTTTTGATGTTTTGTTTAAAATTACCATGTTAAGTAACTCTAACTGCCAAATGCCCAAAAATGGGATAAAACTAATGTCTTGCTCATTTCCTGACCTCAACCACCTCCATTCCCCACCCCAAAATAAAAGTCCCTCCCTGGACTCTTGTGACCCCCTTTAAGAGCAAACACATAATAAACAGTAATATATTTGTCCAAATCGCTCTGGACTATATCTGACGGAAACCTGCTTGTATTAACATGCCTGAACTCTGACTTCCACAAACTAAACTCTCTCCAAAACTAAAACATTTCTGTGCCTCCTAACTGGAGGCGAAGTGGATGGAGAGGGAAGGTAAGAATCACAAGGCACAGCCCGAGAGAACCGTTAGACATAAATAAACATGTCATTTGCACAAGTAACTGCAGAGCAGAGGAAGGAATGCATGCCTTTGGAGCAGACTACTGGCTAATAAAAGATCAAAGATCTATACCTCACAACGCCATAAATAAAAATGTAGTTTTGGGTGGGTTTTCCCCCCCCCATGAGACCCTTCCCCGTGAGGGACAAGGTATGTGCGGTAAATGTAATGACTTAGCAAAGCCGCGGCCTCCCTGTGCCCCCACAGATGACCATAAAATGTCTTCCTATTCTATTTCATCGGCCGCTGTACCAGGCGGCCTGGGCGCCTACGGATCACTGTGGCCATCTGGCTTGTGTCAAAGCCGGCACACAGGAAGAAAGGCGGTGACGTCACTCACCAGGTCAGGCAGAGAACAAAGATGCCTTCTACAATTAAAAAGCCAAGGACCGCAAACGTCAGGGGCTCAATGTGGCTGCAATTTAATAGTCCTCCTGGCTGCCTTTTCTCATACCCAAATAGCCAGAGCTCCATCTAGTGGCAAATTGGTTTTGCCCAGTTAGGGGGCTTAAACTGTTTTGCTTTGGTTTGGATTTTTTCAAACTGACCCCTGTAAGGGCTCTTCTGGCGCTAACACAGCGATGCCGCTGGCAGAGTTACGGTCCGAGCCACCTGGCTTTTCCATGCTGAAGCATGAAGAACCACAACCTGTCACAGTGTGGCCCACTGTGGCAGATGTCACCAACAACCTTTTTATAGGTTGGAAATTGGGGTGACCCTAATTGCACTAATGCCCACAAGGATGCTGAAAATGCAGACAAACTCACAGAATGCTTGCCATCGGTACAGCATCTGAGAATATGTCTCTGAGCTGTAGAACGGCAGACCATGCTGAAGAAGACCGCCTGCAGCTCAAACCCACCCACCCCCACCCGCTTACTCGGAATGAAAGAACCCCAGCGCCTCTAGTGCTCCTCCAGAGCACAGGAACACTATTTTTGTGCTGAGTTTTAGGCGAATAGAGTGAGTGTTCTTACACTTGCAGTGACAACAGAGAGAAAAATATATAATCCATTTTCAGAAAGATGCCAGGCAATCCTGTATGGAGCCGGATTGCCTGGCTGGAACCCTGACAGCACCTGTAACCACCTGTATGACCATGGATAAGTGACGTATCTCCTCAGCATCTTGGTTCCCTCAACTCTAGAATAACCACTAAATAGATTCATTAGTGAAAAGCACCTCCAACCATGCCTGGTATGTGGTTTATGTTCAGGAAAAGCTAATAATATTATTTCAACAAGTCAAACCATCGTCGTATTTAATATTGTATGAGTGAGAGAGAGAGGAAAAAAAAAGCCTTGAAAATAAAGTTTTTCACCAGTGCATTCCGATCCCTGTTTCTCCTCCCTAACCATCCTCTAGTCCTGCTGGACCAACTGCTGATAATTTCCCCAAACAAGGCCATTGTTTCCTACCACCTCCAGGTCTTGGCCGTCAGTCACCGTTGCCTGCTACGGCTCCCAATATCTACCCGTCATCACTCAGATTTCCCGAGACTGCTGGAGCGCCCGCCATGCTCTCCCGAGCTCCCACCTCTGCTGCCATGATCTCCTGCCTTCCCTTTTCTACATCGGGCAGCTCCTACGGTCAAGGAGAGAAGCCGTCCCCATTTTCGCATCCCACTGCCCAACACATGACAAGCAACCATCGGCTCACTGCCCATCCACTCACGGCCGGAACAGAAGACTGGGTGTAAATGACGACCTGAGACTGGCTGTTCGGGGCCCTCACTTCCCACACGGTTGCTACTACTTCCCTTTCCGACAGTGCTTAAAGGAATCCAAACTGATTGCGTGTGGATAATTGCTAGCAGTTCCTATGAGGGAGGGTCGGTGGAAGACTCTTCACTTCAGCTCCAAAGATAATTCCAGTGCTCTGTGTTGGTCAAAAGCTCTGCTCTCCTACGTCCCTACTACCTCAGATTCTACCATCCAAATCCGGACTAAAGTCGGTTTGCCAGTGTTTTGGGTGGGGATCCTCCCCACCTCCCCCTTTTCCTTTTTGTACCAAAGTTGAACAATGTACTACACCAAAGAGAGGCCCCTACCAGGGGACCCAGAGGACTCGCCAAGTTGATAATTCCTTCCGGACAGAGCTGACTGTGACAGTGGACTTAAAAGCCATCAGCCCCAAAGGTCGGAGCCCTCTCCAGAAAATGCAAAGAAATGTATACAGGAGTAGGTCTCATGAGCTAGTAAAATGCCCTCCCCAAAACTACACAAGCCAAGAGAATTGGCAAGTGTGAATGTTGCCAAGGACAATTTTTGAAAACCATTAACATTGCAGTCTCACCAGGGTCTCAAGAAAGAAGTGGCATGCTAACAGCAAGAACCATGAAGGCAATTCTAGATGAAGGGCCACCTTTGACAGAAGAGGCTCAGTTGAGGGGAGCAGATTCACGTCTACTGTTCCCATTTCGTGCCAAAGAGTCTTTAACATAGTCAGCACCTTGGACTCATTCATTAAAAGGTCTGCTATAAAATTCTCTTAAATACATGGTTCTCATCGGCACGGGCCTGACACACACTCTACTTGCTGAGTGAATGGATAACTCCTTTAGGGGGCTGTTTGAAGTCAACAGCCAGATGGGGAGTGATGAATACCAACTCCGATAACCAGAGGTGGCTCTGTGATCACACAGAAGGCTGGGTCTTAAGAGTCCTCACTCTTTCTAATCATTTTCAAAGTAAATGATTTTAAGACGTTGTTGTGGGCAATTATTTTAAGATGTGTTACATTTGTTTGACTCTGTGAAGCTGTGTTACTTTGCCTGTCTAAAACAGCTGATGGGTCTAGTGAAGAGCTGAACGGCCAATAGCCAGGCAGGAGCAAGGGTAGGAGGGCCTGGCAGGCAGAGAGTGAGAAAAGGAGGAGCAGAGGACTCCAGGGCCAGCCACCCAGCTACAGAACAAGCCACAGAGTAGGAAGTAAAGAAAGGGTATACAGACACAGGGAAAGGTACAAGTCCAGAGGCGAAAGGTAGACAGGGTAATTAAGAAAAGCTGGCTAGGGGGAAGAAGAAAAAGCCAAGCGAAGGCCAGGCATTCATAGGAAAGAATAAGACTCTGTGATTTATTTGGGGCCTGGGTGGTGCCCCCCCCCAAAAAAAAGAGCTAAGGGAAAAAAAAAAAAAAACAAGACATGGACTGTTTTAGAAAACTGGACGTCCTTTTCCTCCACTTCCTGGCTCACTGTGCCGTGAACTGAGCCGTTCCAGCCTTCCACCAGGAACGACTCCAGTCTTTGAAACCGAGAGCCAAAATAAATCTAACTTTTTTTTTTTTAAACAAGAAGGAGGGACGGAGGGACGGAGGGACAGGAAGAGACATGGAATTTTAAGTTACTCAGAAACAATGTATCAGCTACCAAGTGAGATGCAAAGACTCAAAGCTGGGCACCTTTAATCCCAGCACTTGGGAGGCAGAGGCAGGCGGATCTCTGAGATCCCCGCCAGCCCGCCAGTTCCAGGACAACCTCCAAAGCAATACAGAGAAACCCTGTCTGTATGTATAAATAAATAAATAAATAAATAAATAAATATTCAAAGCTGTTGTATTTCAAATGTGTTGGCCTAAGTGAGTGGGAATATAATATGTGGCCAAACTCTTTGCTCTCCTTTAGAAGACAGAATGACTGGTAAATACTAGGATTTGGAACAATTACAGAGAGGTGCAAAGGAGAACTCCCCTCTCATTTTTATATCTCTATGTACACACATTCCTGAATTTTATTATCTCAAAATTCTTTACACTCCAAAGAATCGCCAAGAAGTCCAAATACCTTGTTTATGTAGTTATATCTATCAATACTTACAATAGAAATTATGGGTGAACAAACTTAAAGTATTGGCTATAATAAAATGAAAATAAATTTTAAAAATTA